CATATTTCTTCATCAAGTTTACCATTAAGGAAAATTGTCTTAACATTAAGTTGTTGTAACTCCCAGTCAAAATGAGCAGTTAGAGCAAAGAGAATTCTAGTTGAGGTGTATTTTGCAACTAGTAAAAAAATTTCATTGTAGTCCGCACCTTCCTTTTGTGTGAAGCCTTTTGCTACTAATATGACTTTATACCTTTTATTTTCTGAATTAGAGTCCCCTTGTTTTATTTTGAAAATTTACTTACAATCAACTATCTTTTTGTCCTTTAGTTTATCCACTAACACACATGTTTCATTTTTAAGCAAAGAATTCATTTATTCATCCATGGCTTCCTTCCAAAATTTTGAATCAGAACAACTAACAACTTCTTCAAAGGTATTTGGTTCAGAATTTAAGAAATCCAGGCCAGAAAATAAGGTGACAAAATCTTCATTATTAAACCTGATAGAGGGTATCATATTTCTCTTCTCTTTATCTCTTATAAGTTGATAATCAGCAAGAGGTGTATTCACATATTCAATTTCAAGTTCAATATGATCCCCTTCAGCTTCAAATTGAGTAGTCTCCACCTCAATCAAATCATTTTGATCATCAGGGCATTCTAATTGATTTTCTTAGGATAGTATGCTTTATAGGTGTGGATTCATTTGATTTTAGTCCTCATGAGATGCTTTATAGGTGTGGATTCATTTGATTTTAGTCCTCATGAGTTTAGGCGTGGCATATCTTTTTCATTGAATATAACATTTCTGCTTATAGTGACTCTAAAGCCATTTTCTTCCTTCACTCAAAGTCTATACCCTTTTGGTTTCCTTTCCATAACCAAGAAAAACACATTTTAAACATATTGGTTTCAATTTTCCCTCATTTTGACGAGAGTAAGCAGCACAGCCAAATACTTTCAATTTTCTGTAATCTGGTATGACTCCTGACCACAAATTTTCAAGCATTTGAAAATTAATAGCATCGGATGGACTTCTATTTTGTTAGATAGGTTGCAGTTTTGAGGGATTCCCCCCCAAAAAAAATTCCTAGAGCAGAATTGTGTAATATGCACCTGACCTTTTCCAATAAGGTCCTGTTCATTCTTTCAGCAATACCTTTATGTTGCGGGGTGTATGTCAAGTTCTGTGTCTTAATATGCCTTTTTTTTTACAATTTTTTTTTTTTTTTTTACAAAAGGTATCAAATTCAGTATTACAAAATTCAAGTCCATTGTCTGTTCTCAGTGCTTCAATTTTCTTACTTGTTTGATTTTCAATCATTAACTTCAATTATTTAAAGATTTGAAAAATATCAGATTTTTGTTTTAGCAAAAAAGTTCATGTTTTCCTTGAAAAGTCATCTACAATAAGTAGATAGAATCTGAAACCACTTAGTGTATTTACAGAGGCTGGTCCCCAATTATCAGCATGTAAATACTCTAAGATGCATATGGATTTGTGAATTCTAGGTTTAAAAGATAGTTTTTCGTGTTTTTCAAATATTCAGTTTTCACAAAAATCTAACTTTTCAATGTTATCCTTCCTAAAACACCCAAGCTTATTCAAGAGAAGAAGTCCTTTTTCAAAAATGTGGGTAGACCTTTTATGCCAGATTAAAGACTGATTTGATTTTGAATTTACAGCTTTAGAGGTGGAGCCTACTAAAGGTCCAACATAGACAGTGTAAATTCCATGTGTCTTTTGAGAGGTGATGACTTCCCTGTCATCATCATTTAATCTTATAAGCCTTTATGAATCACAATGTTATATTTATCATCTAACTTCCCTAGGAATATCAGATTTCTTTTCAGTTCAAGCACATATCTGGTATTGTTTAACTCAAGAAAATAGTTATTATCCAACATCAATTTCAATTTTCCTATTCCTTTAATTTGACAACTCATTTCATTTCTCATTTGAATTTGACCTTCATTAAGATCAACAAATTCAGTAAACCATTCCTTAAGAGGACACGTGGAAATAGCTGTTAAAGAATTCAGTAAACCAGTCTAGAGTCAAGGACCCACTCATTTGGGTCTCTTTTGGAAGTATTGGTAAGAACATCACCTTGAATGTTAAGTTAATTTTTGCAGGCAATAGCTACAAAAGACCATCAGGACTATTTCTTTCTTTTGAATTAGAAATTTTCTTGAAACAATCATTTATTAGATGTCCAGTCTTTCGACAATAATAACACTTCCTAACTTGGTTATTGATTTTAGTCTGACCTTTATTTCCATCCTTATGTTTGGTTTTTGAAATCTGCCCTTATTAGAGGAAGTGGAATTACATACATTCTTCTTCTTACTTTGGTTTTTGTTTCCTCTATGTGGATACCCTCACAAAGTTTAGTATCATTGAACTCTGATTTTAGTTCAGGTTCTTTATTTCTTAGGGCTGTTGTGATAATATCAATAGTAATGTTTTTTCTTCCATATTCTAAGGCATTTCTAATATCTCTGTATCTTTCACTAAGGGAATTCAACAGGCCAACAGCCTGATGATCATCAGAAATTTTTTCATCACAGTTTGCTAGATCTTGTATCAATTTTGTATATCTGTCAATATTTTCTTCTATAGTGAGAGATGTATCAAATCTGAAATTGTAAAAATGCCTAAACAGATAAGATTTATTAGTCATAGTCTTAGTTAAGTACAAGGACTCAAGTTTAGTCCATGGTGTCTGAGTATTAGTAGTTTCCCCAACCTTTCTAATTACAATGTTAGAGACGTGAAGAAATATAGAAATCCAACCTATTTCATCAAGTTTTTGCCTTCTATAGGCACTAATTTCTGTACCCCAAGTATCATCTAAAGCCCCATCACATCTTTGTTGTAATAATAATGCTCTCATTTTCTGATGCCACAGAATGAAGTCTCCAGTACCATTCCAAATTGGGACTTCAAATTTTTGTATAGTAGACATATTGACAAATATAATCACAAAGTAATAGATATGCGATACACAACGTATTTATAGTTCAAGTAGTTTAGCTAAATTGGAGTGAATATAGGCAGAACAAAATAAGTGCAATCTATTATAGCTACTTATCATGTAGTTAAAAAGAGCACAGAGAATTAGGGGTAATCAATGCATGTGTTAATTTGAATTACGTCTAAGGGATTATAACCCTGGTATCTACTGCTCCCTCAGATTCCCAGTTCCTCAAGGATTCTTGAACAAAGAAAAGCAATGGCAAGTTCATGACCTTAATGACCACTTTCAAAATTAATAGAAACAATTTGCAGATTTAATGAGAGAGATCAGAAGTTACCAGAATCTGAAAAACTTAGAGTTTCAAAGTGAAAGTGCAGTCAGTTTACCAAGATTGAACCAAGAATGCCAACACAAGTCCAGGGAGACAACGAGTCACAGAGACTCAGTAGCACTCAGCAGTGAGTTAAGAACTCAGCAAGGAATCGGAATGAGTTGACTCAACTCGACAAGACTTAGTATGAGTTAAAAATAGAGTTACCAAATCTTAGTGAAAACAAAAGATCTGGGTGTGTCAAATGCGAGTTTGAGATTCAATAGACGTTTACAAAAGATCTTGAGGGAGAAACCCAAGTAAAGCGAATCTGGAGGAGGAGCAGATTTTCCCAAAACAGAGTTATTTAAAAAAAATAAAAAATCAACCAGGAGTTGGATCTAGTATGGATCAGAAAAATGAGAAGATTCCAGAAAATAGAATTCTCACTAGAAGCACTTTTTCATTTTAAAAAGCGATTTGAAAATCTTTAAAACGCTCGGATACCACTTATTGGTCTCATTGCGTAGAACATTTGTTTGATTCGTTTTAAAATAACAAAAATAGAATATTAAAGAACAAGAACACAGAAAATTTTTCACTTGTAAAGGGTTCGAATGTACAGTCACAAAGACCTACACACCTGTTGAGCATCGACTAAGCGATTTGGCTCTAGATCCACTAATATCATCAATAAATCTTACAAATGTATGGAGAAATCACTGATTTCTTCAAGTTTTCTCTAGCCTCTCTTTTTACAAATATGGTAACCAAAATCTCACACACAGATCGTACTAAACAACCCTCAACACTTAACAATAGAAAGATTACATCACGAAGACGAAGATGATCAATTTCAAAGAAATCCTAGTTCATACATAGGCAGAACATTCAAGAGAAAAGAGAAGAATGAATCGTCTCTCTAAAAAATGGAGCGTCCAAGAATATAAATGCTCAGATAAAACAACACAGATCAAAGGGTTGCAAGTGAGCCACGTGTACGGCAAATAGCAACCCTTAAGTGAGGCAAAAGTCGTGTTAACCAAAAAGTCAATTAATCAACTGGGCCGGGTAAAAAACCAATTTAATAGGCCCAACCACTTTAAGAAATAGCAAGGTAGCCCAAATCATAACAGTTCATCAAGAAAAGAACTGAAGTTTCTCATGTCTCCACTATTGTCCCGACGTACCCTCCTACCACACTCTCATTAGTACTCTCATTAGTAACACTCTCAACTACACTGTCAATTTGTTTCTCTTGTAGTATCGATTTTTATTTTCATTACTTATACAATCTTCTGAAATGATGTAGTACTAAATTCCTTGTTAGAACTATGATATTTAAACCACCTTAACACTATTCTGCTAATGGAATCCTCCTCCCTTATCTTATTCCACTTGATCCAACATGGTGCAACCAAAAGCATCTTTAACGTGTTTAAAAAGTGATACCAAAAAAAAAAAAGAAAAAAAGAAAAATGGAAAAATATATAATCAATACGATTATCCTTAAAAATTTACTCTATGCAGAATCCTAACTTTCCCATAATTCCAATATTAACTCTCAATTTTCATTTTAAAAGAAACGAAAAAAAAAAAGAAAAGAAAAAAAAATCTCTCAATGATAAAATGTCACTTTGTCTCATGCATTATCTAGTGTAAACCTTGTAGCAAAACCCATTTTCATAAGGTACCATAATATGAGTGGGCCTCATTCGGTACCTAAAAGTATGGGCTGCCCTAAATGACACCCCAAAAAAGCAGCACATGTCCATATTGGTTTGGCGCCAATTTTATTCTCCCACTGTCAATAATTACCAGAAAAATCCATCTTCCGCTGCGAAAGTACAAACCCTTTGCTCTGTCTCGCTCATGGATACAGATGTTGAACTGTCCACCGGCACAGGCCCAATGGAGATCGAAGAGCCTACACTCACTACCAATCAGATGGAGCCACCGAGGATCCACCGCCTCGACCAGACTGTGGTAAATAGAATCGCCGCCGGTGAGGTCGTCCAGCGGCCTGTATCCGCCGTGAAAGAGCTGGTCGAGAACAGCCTGGATGCTGACTCCACCTCCATCTCTGTCGTGGTCAAGGATGGTGGCCTCAAGCTCATCCAAGTCTCCGATGATGGCCATGGCATCCCCGTATTAATTCCCCCCTCCCCCTACCCGCGATTCTATTTACACTTTTCTGTCCGTGCGTTCATACTCTTTTTGTTCTAAAAGAAAGCTCTATGATTGTGCTTAAAATTACTTTTTTATAACTTACTTTCTAGAAATGTAAGTTTTGATGGTAAATCTGAAACTTGGAAAATAATGTTACCGAGCTTAAAAATAAATGTTTTACTTTTACTTTTACACATAGCTGACAACACTAGTGATATGTAAGATGAAAATTACAATCTCTATATTTGTGTGCACTTGAAGAGAGAAGCATTTGAAGCACCTTAACTTTATTCGTCATCTTTGAATTAAGGCCATGAAAACATGTTTAAATGTCAAATAAAATTGAGAAAGTAGAGAATTTCGTGAAATTGATGAATTACCTTAGGACATGTGTACTAGTAAAAATATGACTGGAATGTGAAAAAAAGAAAAAGAAAAGAACTGATAGATAAATGCATACATATGATGAACCTCAAATTCGTGGTGACGCAGCTCCTTGAGTTTCTTGAATAAACACAAATGAGGATACAAGTATTAGGAGTTTCTTAGCATGCTTGTCTTTTCTTACGAGTGTAAATATGTTAGCCTTTATAATAAACGAATTCTATCTCTCACAAGATAGCCACCTGGACATATGCTCGTTAGTAGTGAAAGGTCTGCAGAAACACAAATACACTCATAATGCAGCAATGACTTCCTATAAAATAGGAAGCCCAGCTAAGAACTTGATAAAAGAGAGATTTTTTTTTTGCCTTAGTGATATATAATTTTTTAAGACTTGTCTGCATTCTGGCCCAAAAAAAAAAAAAAAATGTTTTCTGCTTACGACGCTCATGATTATTTATTTATTTATTTTTTTTTTTGTTTTATAACTTCAAAAATAAAAAAAAAATTAAAAAAAAAAATATAAAATTTGGAAATCAATATAAGAGCAATAGTCCTTAAAAGGAAAATTGTCAAAATATCTTGAGCTACATTTATATTTAATTATATTTTGGGAATTTTGTGGATGATGCTGATTGTAACTCACCCACAGTTGTCATATATGCATAATAATTATACTGATTTGAACGTATATTTCTTTTGTTTTCATTGTTTTATAGTATGAAGATTTACCAATATTATGTGAAAGGCATACGACTTCAAAATTGAGTAAATTTGAGGATTTACAGTCAGTCAAGTCAATGGGGTTTAGAGGGGAGGCCTTGGCAAGTATGACCTACGTAGGTCATGTCACAGTCACCACCATTACCAAGGGTCAGCTTCATGGTTACAGGTATTGATATCATGCAATCCATTCAATAAAATAACCACATAAAAGAACACAAATTTATATCATGTATGTCCACGTACACCAACTCATCTATTTTGTTATAATAGAAATTGGGAAGGATTTTTTGATTGAAAAAATCAATACTCATTAGCTCTGTCTCGATTTGTACTTTATGATGTTATTAGGAAAACACAATTTGGAGATTCAAATCTCAGAATCATTCATGAATTCGAAGAAAGCAGTCAATTGTTAATGGTTTAACTTTGTCCATATTTTGGCTGAAAATCCACATTTAATTGATCAATAGAAAAATGAGAAATTTTTTAGCTTCTTGAGGCCACGGGGTCGAACCATTATTCCATGACTTGTAGTCCGAGTTACA